GGTAGCTGCCTAATTCATGAATTGCCTTTTGTTTAAATAAACTTAAAAATGAGAATGTACATCGGTTTACTTTGAAATAGCTCCACATCACTAATAAAATATTTAAATATATTTTAAACATACAATAATTTAAAAATATGAGCTATATAGCACATATGAATCCCAAAATACATTTATTAAGACTTAAAATATTTGCATAAACTTCATAATGTAAATATGGACTATGATTTTCCTTTTCTGGTCTCAAATTCTAAAGACTTTGAAGCATATACTATAAGCTACAAGGGCTAGTCTCTGCTCCAATTTAAATCACATGATATTTTATGATTCTTTCAAACTTGAATTTAATCCCCCCATCATTAAATTGCATTTTCTTGATCATCTTCTTAGGGAATAATTTTAAGAGAATCATATTTAACCATCCATCAATTTCAGAACAATACATGCTATAACACTAAACATTAGTGAACCTGTTTCAGACACCTGCCACTTCTGTGGAGGTACACTTAATCTAAATCTAAGTTTTAGAAATGATAAAGAATTAAGTATTTGAGGGCTGGGGATATAGCTGCCTGCCTGGTAAGTGCAAGGTCCTGAGTTAGATGCCCAGTACCAAAAAGAAAAAAGAAAAATAAATTAAGCACTCGATATTTTAGATTTAAGCTATTATAAAATGTTTATAAGCAGAAGAAATCAAGAATTGCTGTAAGTATATGAAGAGATGGATATGTTAGCTTGATTGTAGCAGTCATTTCATAACATGTATGTATCTAAACATGGGTTATATATGTCAGTTATACTCCATAAAAGGTGCAAAAAATATTAAGCACTAACAAAAGACAACACAAAATAGCTTTCACTACGTGTTAAAAATGTTTGCTGTGGTGACAATGCTTTGGGGTATAACCTTCATGTATTGTTTACCAGTGAGTCAACAGAAATTGAAAAAGTACAGCCAAATGACTAATGAATATATGAATACATGAAATACACTCAAATTCATCAGTTCCTCATAAAAGGAAGGCAGTCAAACACAATGAGACACTGTCACATGTTTACCAGGATGACAAAAATTTAAGAGTGACTGTCTCAGTTACTTTTCTTTTGTTGCTGGGACAAATACCCAACACTCAAAATTAGGGAAGGAAAGGTTTATTTAGCTCACAGTTACTAGAGGTTTCACTCCATATCCAGCTGGCTCCAACGCACAGTGGCACAGGCAGAGAGCAGAAAGCCAAGGGAGTGGCAGTGGCTCAGGCAGCTAGCCAGCCCCTCTCCTCTCCTCACATCTTAATGCAAATTACCTGCTCCAGGGCAGCTGCAGCACCCACATCCACAGTAATCAATCACAAATTCCAGAAGCCACCCCATGACTGCATGAGGCTTTGGGGGGACAACGAGACACAAACCATAACAGTGACCCACACAAGAAATGAAGTGCAAAGCAGAAAACACAAATAAGGAAGCAGTATAGGATTCTAATTACATTAGGTTTAAAACAGGTGAAAATACAAGTATGCTATTAGAAATTAGGTCAGTAGCTGCCATTGGGAAGAAAGCAGAATAATGGAAGGATTTGTTGGGAATGCAGAATGAGACATTTAGAAAGCTGGTCTTGTTTTATTTATTGAACTAGCTGAAGGTTACATTGGTATATTAACTAGATATGCTGTTCTGCATGTGGGTTATATGTAAAAGTTTCTTAAATTTTAAAAATGAGACTGTCAAATATAATTATTGCCCCTTTAAATGGCAAACTTGTGTATATACGATTTAAGTCATGCAACTAAACAACCCACTGAGGTGAATACTATTATATTGTCATTTTATAAATAAGTAGAAAGTGAGGCATATACAAAGTAAATAACAAGTGCAGGGTCCTACTAGTGTAAATGGTAAGGATGGGATTAAACCTATACTGCAGAGCCAGAGCCTCAGTGACAAACCCTTTACCCTTACACTATTCTGGTGCTCAGGTAGCCCATATTTCTTTATGCGCATCTAAAGACATGAGCCTAAGTTGGATGTAAACCAAGAAGACCTGTCAAATCGACAGAACCTTCCGTAATGGCATTCATTTCAAAATCAGGTCTCCAGAAAGCAATAAATTTGCTTTGACTTTAGCTAACAGAGAAGGGGGTACTGGTGATATACATGCCAACTTCCCTTTGTTTTTATTCATATACACAAGATACTACTGATTTTTTGTACTAATTATGTATAGCTAAGGAATTCTAAGTTGAAAATTAAGAACACAATTCTAAGCATAACCTAAGAAAACCAAAGACTTGAATATAAGATTCTATGTAGTTTTTCCTTTAAATGTGTTCAAATTCTTAACAGACTACTACAAAGTCCCATATGTATCTCTTTCTTATTTTATGCCATTTTTACTCCCTCCGAGTTTAAGAATGTTAGTATTTATGATTCTGTAAATCAAAAGTAAGTAGATCAGATCTGTTCTACTACCAGCAGAGCAACTTTATTACCTTTCTCTCATATGAAGCCCAGCTGGAAAATAAGAGAATTATAAAATATTTCATGATACACTTCATGTGAATCCAGTTTAGTAAGTGAGCTCTCCTGAAAAGACACTCATTTTAGTGTGGGAGAGGAAGTTTGTTTTACACATTATAAACAAGTAAGAAACACATTCACTTTAAGGATATTTGCGTTAGATTCAAATGAAAATCAGCACTTGGGCTTCATAAACATGCAAATGAAATAGAAATTTAAGCTCTTTGACTGACATAAATAGAAATATACATCAGTATGCAATATTATTCTTAAATGATTCAGTGTTTATAACCTGATCGATAGAATTATGTCGCATGTATGATAAACAATTGGTTGTTAGTATCAGTTGATTTAAGTTTACCACTAACAGGCCTTTTGTAATTTTGAGTTGCAGTGTATTCAAACAATTCTTATCGCTAACAAGAAAATCAATATCTTTGAAATAATTAGCTCTGAGCTCTTGGGAACCTCTACCTCTGGGCAGGCAGACAGGGTTCTACTTAATGTAATTACTGCCAGAACTACAAGCAGTTTCCTTGCGAAACCAAATCAACTCATCTGTACTATTTTTTTCGATTCTGTGCTCTGAATTGTGTGAAACAATGCCAGCATTGAAAATACCCATTACATTTCCATGCTTCTTTAACTGGCTATGAAATTTCAAGATTTGGAAAATGTACTGTGAGATGAGCTATGCATTCATTTTCCTGATATAGCATGAGAAAAATAACTCCCACATACCTTTATCTATCCAAATGACAGCCAATCTTTAAAAGTTTAAATATTCCAAGCACTTGAAAATATTCTAAAAGGTAAAGCCAAAATTTCTGAAAAGGATGTTTAAAAAACAATAACTAAAGAGGCTCTGCAAGTGAATTTTCATCCCACTGCAGCTTATTACTTGCACAAAATTAAAATTCAAGATCAACCACTAAGAAAAGATATCTTAAAAAAAAAACCCAACTATGATTGTCCTGGTAGATTTAATCCCTTGATGACTCTCTATTATTAGCACTGAATTTCAGCAGATGTTAAAAGTCAAGAATTTTATTACAGCTTTTTGTCCTCTGGGTACTCTGTGGGTCAAGCAACAAGGGAAGCCATGTGTCATGTCCACGGTACAGATTTCAATTAGTCTAGAAATCTCTGGGAGGAAAATGGTTCTTTCCTAAGAAAGAAATAGGAAGAAAGTATACATGAATTAATAAATGATGTGGGAGCAACGGATGAGGCTTCCACAGAATGGGCGAAATGTGCTTACGTAAAGAAGATCTTCTGCAAGGACATTTTCTCATGGCTGAAGGTAAGTAGCTAATAATATATTACCATTTACTTCCTAAATCAGAATAAAAGGGCATAAACATAAGGTAAATCACTCTTAGATAGTAAAAACTCTTAGGAAATAGACAAGCAAACTACTAATATAGAACAAAATTTTATCCATGTGAAACACAACGGACTATGGTCAGTATATTTATTAATGGACAGCTTCCAGATTAATTTCAGAGTATATTTGGGAGTGGTGACTCTGGTATGATATTCATTCATGATTTTCTGGCAAATAGTTCAGATTCCTCATGTCCTCAAATGCTTTAGTAACCAAGAAAAAAAATTTAGATACTCTAACATGACTCTCAAAGTTTAATATCAAATTGCTAAGGTACATCTATTTCACAGATGTTAAAAACATTAAATGAAAACCATATATGGTTTGTATAAAAACTATACATTTTCTATATAAAAAGATTCCATTTAAACCTTATCATTATAATAGACAACTAAGTGGAGTTGGAAACAAAGCAAACTGTTATTTAAACTGGTATTTAGTAAACTTGATTACTAAACTCATCAAATATTTCTGAAACACATATGATATACCTATAATAGTTTCTGTTCAGCTGCATTTTAGTTGGGAAGAAAAGATATATATGAAGCAGGAATATAAATATGAAACTGTACAGCTTTTTACTACTTAGTATATATGTTACAAACTACAATGGTCAAACATGAACATTAAACAGCATACAGAAGCAGGAGAAGCCATTATTTCACTCTTATATAACATATAGTAAAAGAAGATCCCAAAATCCAATTTTCCAGTTTTATAGTAATACCTTCAGCCTTTTAATGGAAGGAATATGAAGCTGAGTCCTCTTTAACACAGTGGAGTCAGTGTATCCAAATTACTTTTCCTGCCAACTAATGCTTCATTGTTTGACTTACTGTATGTTTTGCATTTCCTTCCACCTCCTAAGACTTTGTAAGCACAGTTTCTGAAATGAGATCTTAGTGGCTGCTTACAAGCCTTTCACCCAAGATGAGCATTACATGACTATGTACTGCAAAAGTTCAGATGGCAAGATTTCCACCTAGAGCGCCAAAGCACGTGTTACAGTTTATTCATTATAAGTAGTAGGACAGAGGCAGCACTTAACAATGAAGAATCAGAACAGAGCCAAACTCCCTACAAAGGGAGAGTTTACCTTAGGATCAGATGTGAGCAATTTGAAAGCTTGATACACTTGAGATTCCTTTACACCACCTCCTAGATCCAAGAAGTTGGCTGGCTTCCCACCACTGAGGAAAATGATATCACAAGTAGCCATGGCTAGTCCCGCACCATTCACTATGAAATGCAAACAGCACACAAGACAAGGTAAACTTAGAGATAAGAAAGGATACATAAACATTCTCCCTCCCCAGTAAGACCAAAAAAGACCTCGTGTTATTCCCAGGCCTTCAGTTCAACTAGGTAAGTGCATACATTTTGAAACAGTCAAGAAATATGCATACAAAGAATAAACAATAAAAAAATGGAAATGAGAAGGATTTATTGAGATGTCAAATCAATCTAGGAAACAAAAAAAAAAGACTTAAAAATTAAGTTAGCAATCTGGGTTAGGAGTAAAGGGCAAGTTTTAGGTTCTGGAAAGCCTAAGAATTCAAAAATAGAGAAAAAAGCTATGGGAGGTTGCTAGGACATTAAAAGACTTCAGTAAAAAGTAAAATTAAAAAAATTACTTATTGAAAATATATACCTTTGAATGTAGCGCCCCTCTGGGAATGAGCTACAGAATCCCTACTTCAACAGGGGGCTATATAATTTGCACTTAGTGCAACACTACACATTTATATGATGTTATCCAGATAAACTCAGAAATCACATTAACCAATGATACCACCACCATTTTCCTATCCCTTTCTCTTCAATGTATGAAATATTTCTTAGCAGCCCAATTATGAAGTTTAGAACCAAAAAATGCCAACATCATTATAGTTTTTCTTGAAAAATCAAATGAGGATGCTTAACACTGAAATTCTCATTTTCTAGAGCTAGGTTTTATTAAACAATTTACTTCTTTTACTTCTCATGCTTAACTGTATGGAATTACTTTCTTCAGCTTGGAAGGCCAAAAAAATACAAAAAAAAATCTTCTTAAAACAGCAGAAATTCACTAGGTAAAATACCCTTTATTTTTTCCTGACCCTTCAATTTTCTAAAGAAGCCTATGAACTGTGATTCTATTAATTATGTCTGGACCAACTAAAATTAAAATGGCTTATATAAGATCTTAAAGCAACAAGAAATGTGTCAATCATAATTTCAGAAAATGCTACATGGTCAAATCATGCACAGTCCAGCAGAGGCTATAAAGAATCTGAATTTAATTTTTTCTCAACACACCATGATATCTTTTTGCTTTCCAAATGCCTACAGATATGGAGAGTACATTAGCATATCAGGATCTGAATGATGTGAGTGATCTGGTACATTATAGCTATTGCTCTAATACAAAGCAAGAGCTTTTGGTATCACTTGTAATTGGATGTCATTTTCTATTGTATTGAACATCAAGCTGTTGGATAAGGTCTCTTCAGTTCTAAATATAATATACTGTTGGCTTAATGTGTAACAAATCTTTTTAATTTTTAATTCCATTAAGATGAAGACCTCAGCTTCTAGAGCAATGAATTCTTTCTAGCAGAAACACAATCTCACACAATTAGGTTAGGAGCATATAAATCTCAGCACTATAAGCTGTGGACAATAACTGAAATTGTATTGCCTCTACAGACACATTCTTTTCTTGGCTGAACAAGCCATTTCACAAAATTAGATGAGTATGATGGAATCAATTGTTTTATTAAGAAACTGGCATAATGAATGAAACATTTTGGCATTTGAACTATAAACTCTGAAATATTAGTACAATGATTAAAGTTTATGACTTCTCCTTCTTCTGAAAAAGCAATTTTGTTTTAAACTCAAATTTCACAATAGTTCCTAACATATTAACACTGATTTGGGGAGTAAAGATTCTGAGATTTACTAAGCGAAGTTTACAATATTTTAAATCCATGGAGTAATTTTATGTACCATACATTTTGAAATGTTTGGGAACTTGTTTTATTTTCAAAATTAGTGGCTGTCAGTAGCATCCAGAGGCCAGGAATGTTGCTAAATATAATGTCTGGGGCTGCCTCCTATAGCAAAAGATTATCCCACCTAAAATCTCAATAGTTCCAGAGTCTAGAAAATGTTTTCATCTATTGACCATTGATGAAAATGAACTTTGAGTAGAAACTCTGGAATATTTTCTAAAACTGTTCAGCTACAAAAAAATCTCTTATGTGTACTTGTTACTGTTAAATAGCATTTCAGTAATCCAGTGTTGATAAATTCTGCAAAAATGTTTTCAATATGAATGCTTACCAAAGCAGGCAATATTCCCATCCAGTCCTATGTATTTTAGATCATATCTGGCAGCTTCATTTTCAATGGGCTCATTCTCTGATTTGTCATCCATAGCAAATATCTCCTTTTGTCGGAATTCAGCATTGTCATCAAAGTTTATCTTGGCATCAAAACAGACAACTAAATAAACAAAAAAAGGAACATAACTAAATATATCTTTTAATTAAGTTCTCCAGGTTGGGAGGCACAGGAAAAAGGCCAGGTTTTATATTTTTTCTCATGTTATAGCCAGGAGAAATTGTTGGGGTTTTCTTGACCTTTGAACATCAAGGTTAGAGAGATAAATACAATGTGGTTCGTATTCTCAAGGAACTTATTCCAGTAAAAAGCACGGTAACTGACATCTTTTGGCTTGTAGTCACAAGAACAGCATCAGAAGTTGTCATTAGCCACATTAAAAGGTACAGATCAGGATAACTGCATATGGCGGCTTTGATTAGCTATCATTACCATATACTTTATTTTTGGTATTTAGCTGCTGATTACAGGTTTTCTCTTCTGTGTAAAGAGATGTTAACACTAATCCTTTTGTCCTCTTCTGTCCTTCTGATACTGCAAAGTGAAATTTTATCAGTATAATCTTAATATTTCTCAAAGATACAGTTGAAAGGCTGAGGAGATAGCTCAGTGGCATATCACCTGCCTGGCAAGCGCAAGGTCCTGAGTTTGATCCCTGGTACCAAAAAAACCAAAAACCAAAAAACAAGGAAACAAAGATATAGTTGAAAGAATGCTGAGCTAGAATCCATATCTTTTTAAATACTTAACTTGCAACCTTTTTTCATTTAAAGGATTTTTAAAATAAAGCTTTAATATACCTAAGGAATACAATGTGTTTTACTATCCATATATTTTACTTTAGAACTATTACTATAGAGAGATAAATCAACTTTATCTGCCTCAATTTCTCTTATGCTTTTCCTTTTTCTTCATTTTACCTTTTCTCTTTTTCATCCTCCCTCCTTGGGCATTTGAAATCTAGCCTTTCAGCATTTTTTTTTTCCCTGATAGAGGGAGTTGAACTCAGGGCCTTTCACTCGTCAGGCAGGCACTGTGCCACTGAGCTTTATTCACAGCCCAGCATTATTAGCATGCAGTACTAATTCTGTAAGCTGGTGTGAAAAATAAATTAATTAATTAAAAACTAGTTTGTCTTTGGGCTTCGGTTTTTTCCTATCTGAAAACACCAAGAACAATAATCGCTAGCCTACTGATTTGCATGATTAAGGATTTGCCAAAATTAAAGCCAGAATTTCAATTTGTACAAATCTGTCTTATGATCCTTTTGATTGAAGTTATAAAACATTAACAGACCAAGAATGGTTGGTCCAGTGCTAAGGTACTCCCACTGTTACACCCAGGCTTGCTCCTGGTGAGATTCTTCATGTTTACTGGAAGAGCCTCAGGTCCAGCAAGATTGGGCCATAGTACGGATGGATGACAGTGCACCATTTTGAATTTAAAGGAGCTCTTCTACAGGATAATCGGGAAATGACTTTATTTCCAGCAAGAGGGAGAGTGGTTGTGTTGGTATCTGAGTTTCAGCCCAACTTACTGTCTCCCTTACAATAGAAACTGGTGCTCTGTGATGCTAAACCATAATTTTTTATTTAACTTGGGGTATTGACAGGCAGGCATTTTGACTAAGATTTACTAAGGTTATTGCTTCAGTATTGCTGATAGGCACCAAGTTCTACAAACAGAACAATAACCTTGGATTAACAGCTCACTGAAAAATAATGTTCATAATATGCTAATTCTACTTGCTTCCTAGAAAAAAAAGAGGGCATCTTTGCATTATGGTAACCTACCTAGGTAGAGTATTTTCAAAAGTTTTTTTTTTTTTTCCCTATGAAAGGATTCAAACATTTTGCTATACATTTGCACACAGAACTACATACAATAGTTAAGAAGATTTGTAATGCATATAAGTCTGGACCACAAATTACTTTTAAACACTCACTGACTGGCAAGAGAATCTTGTATGTAAGTTAGCATTAGCTTGAACCTTTAATCTTGCCACAAAATGCTCAACCACTCTGCCCACAGTGTGAATACATGGAGTGAATAAGTAATTACTTTCCAGAATATTGAAATCATAATGATGGAATCCTACAATTACCAAAGGAATTGGGCAATGTTCGCCGCTTGCTACAGTGGCATTTTCTCAGCAGTTAATGACCAGTATAATAATCAATAGAAAAGCAACTTCATTCTTGGCTTTCCACTAGGTTTATAAATATATTCTAATTAATTTATTAGTAATTTCAGCTCCTCCATTACTCACTGGCAAGAGCACTTGTAACTGACACTTTCAAAATGAATGGGTAAAGGCTATCAAATTGACTTTCTAAGTGAAGAGTTTCAAATAAAAGAATTCTTGGTCAAGATCAATAAACCAGTAAATCAAAATAGTTCCAAGTTAATCTTTGCCCCTTAAAAGACTACAATTACCAGCTGCTTCAGAGAGAGGATAATTAATGGATATATATGCAAAGTTCAGATAGCAGTGTCTACTAAATGCTTATGAAACTCAAAAGATGCTTTCCTGCTATAAGCTGTACATGCCCAAACCAGAAATTAGTTCATTATTTGGTGACCATCTTGAGACAACACAACAGTCAACCCAGACCTTGAGGTAGGAGACAGTGGGATAAAAGTGATGTGTGTCTGCAATGGGTCCTTGTCAACTCTGCTCTCTCTGTAGAGAAAACTGAAAGCATAGGTCAACGTATGTAGCCCTAAAGGCTTTGGTAAGATAGCAATACTGCATAAAAGTCTTCACTTAAGGAAGAAGACTTACGATAAAAGTGGTCTAAAACCAAAGTACCAATTTCAAGGCTCAAATTTCTTTTCAGAGGGAAGAAGTAAAAGTACTTTAAAGGCATTAGGATTCCTCTTGAATGAATATTCATTATAGTTGCTTTTATTCTGTAATATTCAATTTATGATAAAAATATTTATTTTGTTGTTCATCTTTAACTTTTAGGATAAAGATCCTAAAATTGACATTTCCTGAGAAATAGAACTACTAGATCAATCTTTTGTGCTATTTTTTATTTCTTATTATTTTATTTATTTATTTATTTATTTTGTATTTTAGGGAGGGGTCTACAGGGTGTTCGGGGTCTCACTACTAGATTGGACTCATAGTGATCTGCCTGGTTACAGCCTCCCAAGAGCTGGGATTACAGGGGTGCGCTACCACACTCAGTCTCGATTGCCATCTCAGCGCATGCTTAGGGTGGGGCCTGCACGGCAGATCCAAGATTTGCACCCCTGGCCACTGCACCTGCTTGCAGGTGCTTTAATCTGCTGAGCTATTTGGCTGGCACTTCAATCTTTTATTCTAATATTTGATCTTCAATTATGATTTCTCACACAGAACTCCTAATCCCTTGGCATTTCCTGGGAGACAGGAGACTTTTTTGTTCTGATGAGATGAATCTTGGTGGGCTCCTAAATGAAAACTGGCCAGCTGACACACAAAGTCACAGTCAAAAACTTAAGACCCTGTGCTCTTGGAGGCAGACACAATGTGGAGAATCAGTAAACAGTGAAGCATTTCTATGTGACAAAGCCTCCTTCACAGTCCCTAAACCACAGGTTCAAAAAGCATCTAGGATGCTAAACCCAAGAAAGTGCTGGAAAGCTGCCTGAAGAGGCATAGAACTCCATCATTTGCTCTCATGTATCTCCTACGGCCATCTGCTCCTACCTTTTAAAAGAGCTTTTGTAGTAACTGACAATACTAAGTAAAGTGTTTCCCTCAGTTCTAACAAATTATAAAGGAGTTTTTGGGAACTCTGAATTTACAAATGATTGGTCAAAGTGCCAGACTTAGGAGATTCTTGTAGGACTCAGTCCTTGACAAATGGGATCTGACTCTAATTATAGGTAGTGTAAGAACTGAATTTAATCACAGGACACCTAACTGTTCACAGAAAATTGATCAGTGAGGTAAAATTCACACAACTAGTCACAGAAATGTGTTGAGAGTACACTATGAGAAAACTTTTTTTGCTATTACACGTAGTTCATGAAGGCTTTCCTGTCTTTCTGATGCAACGCTGCATTGTCTAAATACTTTTCCTTCTATTTGACCACTTAATACAGATTCTGGCATAAAAACATCTGGGTATAAATTACAGCTCTGACACTTCCTAGCCAGCTAGCCTGGGCATACTACTATTAAACCTAGTGACCTTGTCTACAAATTGGGGGTCAGACTATTGTCTACTATATGTCTTGGTGAAAGACAGAGTGTGTTTAAAACACTTAGCTTCCTGGAGAGGAAGAACTCACTGGATATTACTAGTACCATCATCATCCTCCTGCCAACATATTCTTGTTTCATACTCAGGGCTGCCCATTGTTATAGCTCAGTCTGCAGAACTGTCTTCCTATCACTGAAAATTATCTATGGTTTCTCTCATTCCTTTAATAATACTAGACTTTTGTTTAGACTAAACATTAATGAATGTCTACAGGGTTTTAATAAATACAGATTTACCTATGGTATTCACTAAAGCCATTTCCAAATACATAAAAATTATCCTAAGAGAAGAATTTTAATGCTTGGAATTTTCAGAATTATAATTGACAGAAAAGGGAATTTCTGGCTAAAGAATGGGTAAAATAGAGGCCTCTGGTCAGATCACACATCATACTTTTCTTAAGACCAGGGTGGCTAAAGATTAGTACAAAATGAAAAGAGAAAGAAGAGAGAAAGAAAAGAAAAGCAAAGAACACAGGAGGATCTGAGCAAAGGAGGGAAAGCACAGCCCTCGTCAGCTCTTGCCTCTTGTACTTCCCGTAAACTGGAATGCAGCCACATTCAGTTTACAGGCGAGCTGTCTAATCTGACCAAGACGACAGCAAAGGTGAGGATTCCAAGAGACTGCAAGGGCAAGACCCTCCGAGTACTTACTAACTGGTCCTTTACATAAAAATTTTGTCAACCCCTACAAAGTCACAACTGTGACCATAGTTTTTATGCTGTTTTAACCTACTGAAAGATAAAATAGTCAAAAGTAACATATATTTTTATAGGGAAAGAGGTACTTAGAAAAAGTTCATTCCCCTATCATGTAACCAAAACCATGTGACAAACAAAATAA